TTGGGGTGTCGTTGGTGTTGGGAGAGCTTCAAGCTGAGGTTCCAAGATGAATTTTGGGGTTATCAGTTTTGGGAAAGGTTCAATGTGAAGTTTAGGGATCAGTTTTGGGGGAGAGGTTCGAGTGAGATTCAAGGATGAATTTTGGGGTATCAGTTTTGGGAAAGGCTCAAGGTGAAGTTTAGGGATGAATTTTGGGGTATCGGTTTTGGGAAAGGCTCAAGGTGAAGTTTAGGGATGAATTTTGGGGTGACTTTTGTTCTGGAAGAGGCTCAAGAAGAGTTGGAGGGACCAGCTCTTGGGTTCCTGGGGTGGATTTTGGGTTGTCACTGCCTTTGGGGGTGCTCAAGACGAGCTTGAGCCACAATTTTGGAGCTTCATTGCATTTGGGGAGAATCAACACCAATCAGGGGCCAACCCCGAAGGGTTTTGAGGTCACCCCCTCACCATCTCATAGGCCACCTCCTCGGGGACATCAGCCTCTAGGTTGAAGCTGAACTCGATGGCCTCATTGTCCTTGTGCTTGCCCTTGAGCTTTTTGGGGTCCTCCACCCAGAGCCGCAGCGCCAGCGCCGGGTCCAGCCCCGCGTCGTCCTCGGCCAGCTCCACGCGCAGCCCCGTGTCCTCGGCAAAGAACGCGTGGTCCAGCAGGTCCCGGATGGACAGCCTGGCGTGGGGGTGGGGGGTGTGGTCAGTGTGGTCAGTCCTGGGGGGCTGCAGGGGTCCCACCCCACCCCACCCCACCCCACCCCACCTCTCAGCCTTGTTCTGCCGGATGCAGCCCTCGATGATCTCCTTCACCTCAGGGTCCGTCACCTTGTGGAAACTCGCCGGCTTGATGCCCTGTGGGGGGGACGTGGTGACTTGGGGGGGCTCTGAGGGGCACTTGGGGGTCTCGGGGGGTGGCGGGACACCCACGCTGGTGACTTTGCGGTAGATCTGGGCGGCGTTCTGGCACTCGGAGTAGGGGTACTCGGACGTGCCCATCTCCAGCATGCACATCCCGAAGGCGTAGACATCCACGGACTCGTCGTAGCGCTCCTCGTACATCTCGGGGGCCATGAACTCGGGGGTGCCTGTGGGGCGGGCGGTCAGGGGGCGCCCTCGGGGGCGTCCCCGAGGTCCCCACGGTGCTCACCGATGACGCTCTTGGCAAAGGACGTGCGCATGAGCGTGGCCAGCCCCAGGTCGCCGATCTTGACGGAGCCGGTGGGGCCGGTGATGAAGATGTTGTCGCATTTGAGGTCGCGGTGGATGATGGGCGGCGTCCTCGTGTGCAGGAACTGCAGCCCCTTCAGGATCTGCCGGCACCAGCTCCGCAGCACCTTCGGCTTCATCACCTTGAACCTCTTGAGGTACCTGTGGGGTCCCATCAGCCACGCCTGGACCCCCCCCACCCCCAAACAGGTCTCCCCCCCTGCGCCCCCAACTCACGTCTTAAGGGTGCCCGAGGTCATGAGCTCGGTGACGAGGACGATGCATTTCTTGCCGCGGAGCGAGGACTCCCAGGAGTCGTAGAAGCGGACGATGTTGGGGTGCTGCAGCCCCTTGAGCATCTCGGCCTCCTCCTTGAAGCGCTGCTGCTCCGCCTTGGTCAGCTTGCGGTCCTGGGGGGGCACAGACGCACCCCAAAGTCCGGCAGCGGTGTTGGGTCTGGGCTCCAGGGTGAGCATTAGCAGCCCCCAGCCCCAGGATCGTCATCGTCATCATCATCATCATCATCATTGTTTTCAGCATCATTCTCCAGCCCCAGGATCATCATCATGATGTCTAAACCTCGTTGACAGCATCATCATCATCATCATCCCCCAACTCCAGTATCATCATCATCATCATCACCATCATCCCCAAACTCCAGGGCTGTTGTCATCATCATCATCATCATCATCATCATCCCCCCAACCCCAATATCATCATTGTCCCTAAACCTCAGGGTCGTTGCCAGCATCATCATCATCATCATCCCCCAAACTCCACTATCATCATCACCATCATCATCATCCCCAAACTTCAAGGCTGTTGTCATCGTCATCATCATCATCCCCCAACCCCAATATCATCGTTGTCCCTAAACTTCAGGGTCGTTGCCAGCATCATCATCATCATCATCATCATCATCCCCCGACTCCAGGGTCATCATGCTCACCCCCAAACTCCATCATCATCATCATCATCATCATCATCCTCACCCCCAAACTCCTTCATCATCATCATCATCATCATCATCATCATCATCATCATCATCATCCTCACCCCCAAACTCCTTCATCATCATCATCATCATCATCATCATCATCATCATCATCATCATCATCCCCCAACTCCAGGGTCATCATGCTCACCCCCAAACTCCTTCATCATCATCATCATCATCATTCCCCAATTTCAGGGGGTAACAAAGCACTTTGGGGGACAAACGGCTCAGTTTGGGGGGAATTGACGGCATTTGGGGTGGCTGTGGGGTGCACAGGTGGCAGAGGTGGTCACCTGTGGGGTTCGTGGTGATTTTGGGGTCTCGATTTCAGGGTTCATGATGAATTTTGGGGTGTCCCTGTCTTTGGGAGGGGCTCAAGGCAAGCTGAAAGGTTCACGGGTGGATTTTGGAGATCGCTGATATTGGAAGAGCCTCAAGATGAGTTTGAGGAACCAATCGCAGCTTTGGAAGGGTTTCAACATCAATTTGAGGAGCCAATGATGAGTTTGAGAGGGTTCATGATGAATTTTGGGGTGTCCCCGTCTTTGGGAGGGGCTCAAGGCGAGATGAAAGGTTCACGGGTGGATTTTGGAGATCACTGATATTGGAAGAGCCTCAAAATGAGTTTGAGGAACTAATCACAGCTTTGGAAGGGCTTCAACATCAATTTGTGGGGCCAGTCAAGGGGTTCATGATGAATTTTGGGGTTTGGGAGAGCTTCAAGGTGAGCTCAAAGGACCAACTGAGGGATTCAAGGGAGGATTTTGGGGATCGCTGATGCCAGAAGAGCCTCAAGCTGAGTTTGAGGAGCCACTCATGACTCTGGAAGAAGTTAAACACCAACTTGAGAGCCACAATCAGGGGGTTCATGACGAATTTTGGGGTGTCCCCATCTCCCAAAGAGCATCAAACCCCCCCCCCCTCAAGAACCCACCACACATCCTCCCCGTCCCCATGACCCTCAAAATACCAAATTTCACCTCCCACCCACCAACTCACGACCCCAAACCCCCCAAAATTCCCCTCCCCACCACCCCCCCCCCGGCTCGGGGCTCACCTGCAGCTCACACCAGGCCACCTCCACCCAGGTGTCGGTGTCGAAGCCCTTGAAGACCGTCTTGAAGGCGCCGCGCCCCAGCTCGATGTCGAACTTGAGGAAGCGGCCACCGGGCGAGGTGGCCACGGCCTTCATCTCCGCCTCCTCCTCGCCCTCCTCGCCTCCCCCGAGCCGGGGGTCGCCCCGCGGGCCGGGGTCGCCGCCGCGCTCGCCCCGCTCCTCCTCCTCCAGCACCTCCACGCTCTTGCGGAAGAAGCGTTTTGGGGGGGCGGGGGGGGACGCGGGAGTTTTGGGGTCCCCCAGATCGGCGGCCATGGTTGTCCCCACTCCCCTACCCCCCCACCCGCCCGAAAATTTTAGGGGCTGACCCCCCCCCTCCCCCCCGCCAGCCCCAGCTGCCCCTATGGATGAAGGAGGGGAGGGGTCCGCGTGTCCGGGGTGGGGTTATGAGGGTCTGGGGGGGGTCACCTCGATTTTAGGGGTGTCCCCCCCCCCTCGGGTGGCACCGGCGGTGGCCGCGTCACCCCCTCCCCTGCGGGGGGGGACCTGCAAGGGAGACAAAGAGGCTTCGATGGGGCGGGGGGGGTGGGGGGTAATCGGGGAGGGTATAATTAATAAGGGCAGCGAGGTTAATTGGGGGGGTCCACGAAATCTGGGGGGGGTGGAAGCATCCCCCCGGCCCCCCCCCCCCCCCGCACAGCGGCTGCTCTTCCTGCGGAGGAAGGACTTCCGGGGGCAGCCCCCCCCCCCAAAAGGATGCTACAGGTACGCCCGCCCCCAAGGATGCCATAGGTACCCTGGGGATGCTCTGGGGTGCTATGGGTACCCCCCAAAGGATGCTATAGGTACCCCCCAAGGGTGCTATAGGTACCCTCGCCCCCCCCCGGGTGTCACAGGTACCCCCCCCCCCCAGGATGCCACAGGTACCTCAGCCCCTCCTCCCCCCGCTGTGGGGCTCCCTATGTATCCTGGGGGGGGGGGGGGGTGTGTGCCCAGTTCTGACCCCTGTAGCCCCCCCTGGACCACCATAGCCCACCCCCTATAGCCCCCCTCAGTTCCTGTCTGCCTCCCTATACCCCATAGAGCCCCCAGCCCCTAAATCCCCTATATCCCATAGAGCCCCCAGCCCCTAAATCTCCTATACTCCATAGAGCCCCCCAGCCCCTAAATCCCCTATACTCCCTATTGCCCCCCAGACCCTATAACCCCTGTGCCCCCCTATACCCCATAGAGCCCCCCAGACCCTATAACCTGTGTCCCCTATACCCCATGGAGCCCCCTAGAGTTTCCACACATCCCTACAGCTCCTGTGTGCCCCGCACCCCCATAGTGCCCCCATATCCCCCCCTGTGCCCCATATCCCCCACAGCCCCCATATCCCCCACAGCCCCCATATCCCCTACAGCCACCTGTGCCTCCATATCCCCCCCGTCCCCATATTCCCCCTGTCCCCATATCCCCCACAATCACCTGTGTCCCCAAATTCCCCCTGTGCCCCATATCCCCCCCTGTGCCCCATATCCCCCACAACCCCCCCAGACCCCCACCCTCTCACCCGCGTCACGTGACCACCGCCGCGCGGGGGCTGTCGGGAGCTGTAGTTCCCGTCCTGCCTCTGGCTGTGGCCACGCCCCCAATGCCACGCCCACGGTCTACCACGCCCCTACGCGTCCATCGGTGACTCGGGGATCGCTCCGTGCCTCGCTCACTCGAGGATTCGGCGCTCGGCCGCGCCGCCTGCGCAGCGCCATCATGGCGGCCCCCGGGGTGGAGGCGCGAGCGCTGTTCGCGGAGGGGGGTGCGGGCCGTGCTGGGGGGGTGGGCGGCGCTGCAGGTGAGGGGGACACCGGGGACACCTGGGGACACCTTGGGAGGACACTGGGGACAGCTGCGAGCTGTGCTGGGGGGGCGGGCGGCGCTGCAGATGAGGCGGGGGCAGCGTGAGGGCACTCCGGGGGGCACTTGGGGACACAGAGGGGGCACCCCGGGACCAGCATCGGGTGTCCCCATGTCCCCCCCGGGCTGTCCCCGCAGCTGGCGGTGGCGCAGGGCTTCGGGGGGCCGCAGGGTCCCGAAAAGGCCGCGTGGCTCAGCTCGGCGCTGCTCGATTTCTTCACACAGAACGGTGCGTGCCCGGGGGGGGGGAAGAGGGTGGGTCCGGGTCGGGAGGGGCAGAGGTGACACCCCCGATGTCCCCCCCAGCTGACCTGGAGCAGGAGGAGGTGGAAGATTTCCTGGCCGAGGTGATGGACAACGAGTTCGACACGGTGGTGGAGGACGGCAGCCTGCAGCAGGTGGGCTCCCAGTACGGACCAGTATGGAGCAGTGTGCTCCCAGCAGCTGGCCAGCCTCCCCCAGGCACTCCCAGTACAGCCCAGTTTGTCCTCGGGCTGCTCTCAGCATCTTTTAGTGGCTTTTGTCCCTTCCTCGTACCCTTGGTCCCTTCAAGATGCTCCCAGTAGTTCCCAGTATAAACCAGTATGGTCAAGGATGTTCCCAGCAGCCACTCCCAGTTCATCCCATTCCATCCCCAGGCTGTTACCTTCAGTGCTGCCAGCACCTCCCAGTATAGACAAGTTGGTTCTCAGTGCTCGTTTACATCCTCCCAGTCCATCCCAGTCCCACACATCACCCTCAGCACCCCCAGACCCATCCCAGTACATCCCAGTCCCCTCCCTGGTGGTTCCCAGTCCACCCCAGTGCCCTCCCAGTGGTTCCCAGTCCACCCCAGTGCCCTCCCAGTGGTTCCCAGTCCATCCCAGTCCCTCCCAGTGGTTCCCAGTCCACCCCAGTGCCCTCCCAGTGATTCCCAGTCCATCCCAGTCCCCTCCCTGGTGGTTCCCAGTCCACCCCAGTGCCCTCCCAGTGGTTCCCAGTGCCCTCCCAGTGGTTCCCAGTCCCTCCCAGTGGTTCCCAGTCCATCCCAGTGTCCCCCTGCAGGTCAGCCGGGAGCTGGTGACCCTTTTTGCCCGGGCGCGGGGAGGGGACGTTGGCGGGGTGGGGGCGGCCCTGGGGGCTCTGGCCCGGCGTGGCCCCGCCCTGGCCGCCGCCCTGGCCACCGCCCGCCCTGGGGGAGACCCCCAGAGCCCCCCTGGGACCCCCCCCACAGCCGCCCGGAGCCCCCGAGAGCGAAGGGAGGAGGAGGAGGAAGAGGAGGAGAGCAGCGAGGAAGAGGAGGAGGTGAGGGGGTGACATCATTGGGATGATGTCATGGGGAGCTGATGATGTCATTGGTTGGGGGGCATGGGATTGGGAGGGTGCTGGTGATGTCATCAAAGGGGTGGGGATGTGGTGATGACATCATGGGGTAACAGTGATGATGTCATTAAATTGGGGGGTGGAGACTCCCTAGGAAGCCCAAGTGAGGGGGGCTAAGGGCTCCGATGATGATGTCATTCCCTGATGATGTCATCAGAGCAGGTGGGGATGTGGTGATGACATCATGCGGTGTAACTGGGGGGGATACTGATGATGTCATTAAATTGGGGAGTGGAGACTTCTCAGAACCCCCCAAGTGAGGAGGGGCTAGGGGGTGATGATGTCATTCCTGATGATGTCATTCAGTCCTGATGATGTCATCAAGTAGGGGGAAGCTGGGATTGGGGTGGGACAGTGATGGTGTCACCAAATTTAGAGAGAGGCACCCCAAGACTCCTGTGAGGGAACGGGAGGGGAACTGATGACATCACTGGGGGTGTGTGTGTGTGTGACACTGATGACATCACTGGGGGGCGGTGTCTGTGACACTGATGACATCATTGCCCCCCCCCAGGCCATGGAGTGCGGCACACCCCCGCCCCCCTCGGACGGCTGGACCGTGGTGCAGCGGCGGCGGCGGCGATGATGGGGGGAGGGGTGTCCTGTGTGTCCCCCCCCAGCTTGGGGGACACCCCTCCCCCACCCTGCTCCCCAAACTGGGGGGGAATAAAGGCCCCTCCCCCCATGGGGGTGTGGGAAGAAGCGTCGTGTGATTATTGGAGGGAGAGGCCGCTTAGAGAACCCCTGGGCCCATTGGGACCCCAGCGATCCCTCCCAGTATAACCCAGTCCCTCCCAGTGCTCTCGCCCAGCCCCGCCCATCTTGGCGGCCGCTCTGAGGGCTCCAGGGCAGTGAAAGGCGTGGCTTCCTCACCGCGCGTTGCGATTGGTTGCACCTTGCATCGGTGGGAACGCCCTTCGCCTGCCTCACGCTATGATTGGTTGGCTAAAGCGAAGGCGAGCGGTGATTGGTCAGCCGTACAAACCGTCTGGGCGCGGGCGCTAATTGGTCGCTGTCGTTCGGGTGGGCGGAGCGAGGCGGGAGCGCGGGAAGACGGGGCGGCAATGGCGGCGCCGCTGGAGCGCGCGAAGGGGTGAGCGCGCGACCCCCCCCCAAAAAGGCGGGAACCCCTGAGGGCTGCCCGGCCGCCATTTTGGGTCGGGGGCGGCCCCCACCACCCTGCGGGGTCTCGGGGGGTTCACCGGCTGCCATTGGGGTCCCTGGGGTCACCTCCTCATCCTCACTGGGGTCCCTGAGGGTTCACCGGGTCCTTACGGGCTCCTTGGGGTGACGCCCAGCCCCACACGGGGCACTGCAGCGTCTCCGTGCCCTCACGTATCCTGAGGGCTCTGGGGATGGGGAGGGGGTCACCGAGGGGTCTCCTCATCCCCACGGGGGTCCTCGGGACCCCACGCGTGTCCGAGGAGGGCTCCTGGTTGTCTCCATGTCCCCACTCGTGTCATTGCGGGATATCGGGGGGATCTCCTCGTTTCTGGAGGGGTCTGGGGGTGTGTCCCCCCCATCCTCACCCGTGTCCCCTCCATCCTCACCCGTGTCCCCACGCTTGTCCCCAGCGCGCTGGCAGCGCTTGAGGCTGCCCTGGAGTTGGAGGAGGAGGAGGGTGATGTCCCCACCCGGGTTCTGGCAGAACATCAAATGGTGAGACCCCAAAACTGCCCCACAGCACCTCAGAATAGACCTGCAGCACCCACGTCTCTCCCATGGGTGTCCTTGGTCCCTGTATTTGCCGCCCAACACCCCCACACCCCTTCTAAATTTATTTCTGACCCCCCCATACTTCTCACAGCCTCCCTATCTGGCCCTCATTCTTTTAGTGACTCCTACATTTATCCCCTAAAGTTTCCCAACTGCTCTGTTCGTGACATCCTCCCTGCCCCCTTAACTTTCTCAAAAATTTTCCTTTGTCCCCCCATTTCTCCCCTCCACACCCCATTTTTCCCCCACACCTCTAACACCTGCTCCGTGACCTCCCCCAACCCCCTTGGCACCCCAAATCTCCCGTGACACCCCAAACCTGCCCCCCAGGACACCCGGAGGAAGCAGAAGCTGCTCCTGTCCCAGCTCCGGGTGCTGAAGCTGCTCCTGGGGGTCGTCGAGAACCCGGGGCAGCCCCTGGCCCCCACCGACCTGCGTGAGCCCCCAAACTGAACCCCAAAACCCCCTGGGCCCCCGAACTGAACCCCAAAACCCCCTGGGCCCCCAAACTGAACCCCAAAACCCCCTGAGCCCCCAAACTGAACCCAGAGCTGCCCTCAGCCTGTGTTATCCCCCCAAAATCCTGGGTGGACCCTGAACCTCGAAATCCCTTGATCCTCTTTGTCTACTTTGGGGTTTCCTGGGTCCCCTTTGAGGCAGGGGTCTGGGGGTTCCTGGCTCCCCTTTGGGGGTTCCTAGGTCCCCTTGGGGAGGGAGCTCAGGGGATATTTGGAGATTCCCATACATCTGAGTCCTCTTTGGGAGTTCCTGGGTCCCCTTTGGGAGGGATTGGTGATTCCCAGGTCCCTTTTGGGGTCCCCTGCTGTTTTGGGGGGCTGATTTGGGGCTCCCCCTCAGGCGAGGCGGTGGCACAGGCACGGAGGCGCTGGCAGGGGCTGAAGGCAAAGTATGGGGAGGCCCTGGGGGCCCTGGAGGAGGCCCTGCCCACTGCCCTGGAGCAGCTGGAGCGGGGCCAGCAGCTGCTGCAGCGAGGGAAGGCAGCCCTGGAAGCACGGCTGGAACAGGTACGGGGGTCCCATGGGTGCTGGGGGTACAATGTGGGTCCTGGGGAGTCCTAGGAGTGCTGGAGGATCTCATGGGTGGAAGGAGGCTGGGGGCACTGTGTGGGTCTGGGGGCTCCTTTGGGGGCTGGGGGCACTGTGTGGGTCTCCCATGGGTGCTGTTCCTCCTTCCCCCCCCAGCAAGAAGAGCTGAAGGTGAAGGTGCAAGAGGCCACAGAGAGACGGGACCAGGTGAGATTGAGAGGGCGCCCCCGTGGGGTCTCCCTCACCTTGGGGTATTTTTGAGGGGGGGGGGGGTACATTTGAGGGCTCCCTCCCCCATTTTGGATCTGAGTCCCTTCCCTCCATTTTGGGGTCACCCCAATTTGGGATCTCTTTTTCCCTTACTCTGGGGTCTTTTCCCCCCCAAACGTGGGGTCTCTTTCCCCTCTGATTTGGGGTCTTTTCCCCCCAATTTGGGATCTCTTTTTCCCTTACTCTGGGGTCTTTTCCCCCCCCCAAATGTGGGGTCTCTTTCCCTTCTGATTTGAGGTCTTTTCTCCCCAATTTGAGATCTCTTTTTCCCCTAGTCTGGGGCCTCTTTCCCCTCTAATTTGGGGTCTTTTCCCCCCTCTAATTTGGGGTCTTTTCCCCCCAGTTTGGGATCTCTTTTTCCCCTAGTCTGGGGCCTCTTTCCCCTCTAATTTGGGGTCTTTTCCCCCCAATTTGGGGTCTCTTTCTCCCCTCAGCTGCTCCGACGGGTTCAGGAGCGGCGCCTGCAGCGGCTCTGCCGGCAGGAGGAGCTGCAGGGACTGCGGGAGAGAGTGGCCAGGTGAGGGGACAGGTGAGGGGACAGGTGAGGGGACAGGTGAGGGACAGGTGAGGGGGGGAGGATCATGGCAGGGGCACAGGTGAGAAGGGTTGGGGTCCCCTGGGATTTTGGGGGGGGTCCTGAGAGAGACTCAGGAGTTTTGTGGGGGGACCTCCAGCATAGGGAAGGGATCCCCAGGGTAGAGGAGAGCCCTGGAGGGCACCCAGTGGGAGTCCAGGTGTCCAGGTGGGGCTCCTGGCATAGAGGGGGGGATCCATTGTAGCCATGGTATTTTCTGGAAAATCCTTTCCTTAGAAATTTTTCTCCTGAGAAGCCGAGAGGCCTCAGAAACAAAATGTGAACAGTAATTATCTGCTGCTGTGGAATGCAACAGGTGATTGGTCTTGTGGTTGTTTCTAATTAATGGCCAATCACAGTTCAGCTGTCTCAGACTGTTTGGTCAGCCACAAGATTTTATTATCATTCCTTTCCTTTGTTTGATTTTATTATCATTCCTTTCCTTGCCTTCTGATAAAATCCTTTCTTCTATTCTTCTGGTATAATTTTAATACGTCATTTTCTTTTAATATAACATATACCATAAAATAACAAACCAGCCTTCTGGAACATGGAGTCAACATTGCAATTCTGTCATTTCCCTCAGGGTGAAGGCCTCATGTGAGCTCTACCAGACCCTGGCAGGGGCCCAGGTGCTGCCCCTCTCCCCAGGGACCCCCAAGGAGCAGCTGGAGCTGGAGCTGGGACCCCCTCCTGGCTCCTCCCGCTCCTTGCCCCCCCTTTTCCTGTCCCTCACCCCCAGTGGGGAGGTCCAGCTGCAGGTGAGTGGTTTTGGGGGGATTTTGGGGGGCTGGGGAGGATTTTGGGGGGGATTGGGGGCTGAGGGGGGGCACTGGGAGGGATTTGGGGGAGCACTGAAAGTTGGGGTGGGGAATTTTTGGGGGTCAGGAAGATTGTGAGGAAGACAATGAAGTCTCCACTTTGAGGTTGGGGACTGATCTGGGGGTGTCAAGGGGGTCCTGGGTAGTTTTGGGGTCTCACCACCTCCCCTTTTTTTCTCCCCAGGAACCCCCCCTGGGGCTGCCCCCTCCCCTGGGCCCAGGGCTGCTGGAGCTGCAGCAGCGCTGCTGGGAGAGCTGGAGCCTCTGGGAAGAGGTGGCACACCTGAGGAACAGGTGAGGGGTTGGGGGGCTTTGGGGGGGCTTTGGGGTGAGTCTGAAGGGGCTGGGGGGTAACTGGGAGGGGTAGGGGCATTTAGGAGGCTGATTGAGGGGCCTGTGGGAGAGGTTGGGGGGTCTTTGTGAAAGGTTTTGGGGCAGTTCTGGGGGGGCTTTGGAGTAATTGCCAGGGTGGGGGGGTTGATTGGGGGGGCTGGGGGTTAATTTGGGGGGGCTGGGGGTTAATTTGGGGGGGCTGGGGGTTAATTTGGGGGGCTCACCCCAACCCCCTGGTGATCCCCCAGGTTCGCCCTGGACTGGCAGCCGGAGTTGGGGCTCCTGCGAGTCCTGGGGGGCCCCCAGGGTGCCCAGACCCTCTGGACGCTGCAGGTGGAGCCGGGGTACCCCCAAAACGGGGGAGTGAAACTGCTGCCCCCCCCAAAGGGGGCCCCCCCCATCCCTGTGAGTCCTTTGGGGGTGTCTTAGGGGTGTTTGGGGGTCCCTCAGAGGGGATTAGGGGTCTGGGGGGACAGGTTTAGGGATCCAGGGGCAATTTCAGGGTCCCTGGGGGTGGTTTGGGGGTCCTGGGGGGCACTTGGGGGTCACTGAGGGCAATTTGGGGGTGTCACTGAGGGCAATTTGGGGGTGTCCCAGAGGCACCTGGGCATCCCAGGGATGGTTTTAGGGTTCTTGGTGGGTTTGGGGGGGATCTTAAAAGGGCACAGAGGGGTTCCTGGGAGTGACCCCCAAACCCCCTTTTCCTCCACAGGCACCCCCAGACCCCCCCACTCTGACACGGTGGCTGGAGCTGCTGGTGGTTGGGGGGGGGTCCTGAAAACGGGGGATCCCCCTCTTTCCCCCCCCCATAAAAAACCCCACTGCACCCCAATAAACTCACAGCCACCCCTTCTCCAGCTCTATCTCACCCCAAAAAAATCCATTTCTGGGGGTTTGCAGGAGCAGCTTTATTGTGGGGAGGGGGCTCTGGGGGCCGGGGGTTTTGGGGTGCC